TGAAACGGTTGTTATGCCTGAATCTCCCTCCTGTTGGGAGATTATTATGCTCCATATTCATAATGGCAATTCTGCTGCCCACAGCCCTGTTTCTGAAGGAAGAGCTTTGATGTCTGCTATAATGTTTGTGGTTTTCAGAAGAACATCAGAAGAAAAAAAAAAAAAAAGAGGTATTTACTAAACAATAGATAAGGCCTTCAACTGTAATCATGCCTGGGAGGAAGTGCGAATAATTTCTGTGTATACAAAGAGATTTAAATAATCTAATTAGAGGAAGGTCATATACTGGAAAACAAAACTTCGTCAGGCAATAAATAAAAGCATAGGGTTTGAAAGGACATTCTCATCAGGTTTCAGGGTGGTCTTTGATTTTTAAAGGTTATTTTAATCCTGCATGGGTTTGTGGTTTTATTTATGCTGCAGTATTGTCTGCAAGTCCAGCTGTCCAGATGTCCTAGGCTCTGTAGGCAAAGGCATGCTGACCCTGACCCCAAACACACGGCATCTGGGGACAAATTTTTCAATAACTGCAGTTTGGGTGTGATGGTTGTGCACCGTATCAGATTATTCATAAACAGTTTGAGCTTTTAAAGGGTCAGACCCAAGAGCAGAGTCAATGCTCTGGTGAGCAGCAGAGGCAGAGGTGAGACGAGTGCGTAGGCCGCGGCGTGCCAGGCAGAAAATGAGTTCCTCTGTCTCATCGTGACTCGTGGCTCTGCCTCTGTGCCAGGAGCTGTTATGGTTGGCTCCAAACACACGTGGGAGCGCTGGCACCCAGCTGCACGTCCTCCTTGCCAGTATCCAGAACTGCCGTATGGTTTTCGTCACACAGCTGCTCTCCTTTTCCAGAGGAGCGCACATGCCCAGTCCCACACGCCCCTGTGTAATCTATTTAGCTGCGTCTCCTTCCTTCCTCTCGGCTTTGTGAAACACAAAGCACGGATTCAGATACTGATCCAACAGGTCTGTGGGCAAGTCTTCTGGGTGCTCTTGTCCCTCGCTCTGGGACTGCTGCCCAATAGCTCGGATTTCTGTGTTGCATGGGGGATGTCCTCCTGGCTGGGCTGTGCGAGAAGCTAAAGCAAGGCTTTATAGACAATGGTGTTTGTTGAATCTGTGTCAGATGTCAGTGTCACACACTGGTTGCACAAACACAGCTGCCTTTAGTTAATGATCGGCTAAAACTGGCAGGGAATTAATTTGACATTAGACACTCACTATAGAAGACACAAAACTCCTTTCATATCCGAGGCTCCTTGCTTGCCTTTCCTTTCACCTCCAACATCAGGGTGCTGACCAGGAGATTACACAATCATGAACTCGTATGCTTTTTTTTTTTTATACCTTCCCCTCCCCTCATCCCACAAATCCTTCGTAAGTCATGATTTCTCTCTCGTGTCATGGAACAGTCTGTGTATGAGAGATGACGAGTGGCCCCTCCGCCCAGCTCTGGCATCCCCATCACCCTTAGCTCCATGGGTTCTGCAGGGGTGGAGACGTGGCCTTGAGCCCACCCCACCAGTTTTCACAGGAAGATAACACAGAACCAGATCTCACGCCGCGGGTACATGCTCTGGCTGCTAAGCTGTTATATTAAAAGGTTATTACCACTGGCCTTGGCCAAGTGTTTTTGAATGAAGCAGTCTTAAATCTTCGGCTTGTATGCAGCTTGACCCTGCTGCTTGTATGCAGCTTGATCCTGCTGGTGCTAGGCTTTGAGCACACATTAAAGACGAGGTCTCTGAGAGCATGTAGCAATGGGACTGCTCGTTTTCAGGACCAGGTCAAGTTTAGCTATGAGATAGGAAACTGAGCTGAATCAGGCCTGATTAGATTGAGGCAGAGCTGAGCACACAGAGACGTGCCTTTAGGTACATAGGGAGATATATTACTAAAACTTGAGTATCTTTTCTTTTTATATACTTTATAGACTTTTGGAGTCCATCCCCTACCACTAGGTTATTGACTAGGTTATTAATTCTGTCTGATGTGTAACTGTGTTCCAAGACTTCCAAATACCTCTAAAAATGCCTGTTGTCTTCAAGCATGTATGTATGACTCATGGTAGTCACCAAACTCTCTTGGATGTGGGTGCTTCCATGAAGTGCAGTGCAGGCTGTTAATATCAGGATCTGAAAAGGTGATCATATGTACATGAGCAGTGCTGTCATAAGTATAGATTAGTTACAGCTAAATTATTGTGCAAATGTCAGTCTTTAAAATGTAAAATCCTGAATGAATGAACAGTGACTCAGCAGTCTTATCAGTAAGATATCTCAATTTGTGATTCCAAAATATCACACAGGAACTTAAATAAAAGGAAAAAAAAAAAAAAAGATGAAAGGGGAAAGCTTGGACTCAGTTTGCAGGAAACTTATTTAGGATAGTGACAATCCTTCACTGATGCTGTTGTTTAACTGAATGGATGACCCACCAAGATATCTTTTCAGCAGTTAGCTAAGGGAGTATTTTAGTTTAAAACCTGCATAATATACATATTAAAATCTTAAATTACAAAGCCAGACTGGTCTACTGTGAACATCTATTTTGACATCCTGTATAGCACAAACCACAGGATTTACATAAATTAATTCTTTTTTTTTTTTTTCCACTAGAAAATGTATTTTAGAAAAGCTTTTCAGAGATGGACAATCTCTGAACTGTGTCAGTACTTATTTATTTCACTATTAGAAGACATCTGTCTTGAATCAGAATTTGTCAGGCTAAAGAAAAACATATACCTGAAATACCATTCCTCGTGGTATTTGAGTTTTTACCCCTGCACTGCAAAAAGACTCACAACTTGCATATAGCCTGCAAAAACAAACAAACAAACAAACAAACAACAACAACAAAAAAAGCAGAATTCACACTTATTTTAAAATGTGGCCAGAAGTAAACCAGCCTCATCTGTTTTGCCTGTAGCCCAGGGCTGTGTTTCCCAAGCAGCAAGCTTCAGAAGGTTCAAAGGTATGCCCCAAAGCATTACGGAAGCTTTATTGCCTCTGTGCAGTGTTGTAAAACATTCTATATACTGGTAAATGGTGGGTCTGCCTGAACAAAAAATAAATAAATTAAATTAAAAAACAAACAAAAACAAACAAACAAACAAACAAACAACAACAACAAAAAAAAACAACAGTAATTTAGCAGTTAGATTATTCAGTAACAAGACATTGTTACTTTCATTCCAGTGACTTCAAGCCCTGTGTTTTCCCCCTCCCGGCAGTGCCCTAACCACTAGAGTAGAGGTTACAGGGGGAAACAACAAAAGCAGTCCCCTTCCTAGGGACTTTGTAAGGACTGTGTAGTCTTGCCAAAGAAATTTCGAGATGCATGTCATCGGCAGGCAGTGTGACAATGTAGTCTATCAAGAAGGCCCTTTGCTAAGAAAAAAGACTGGGCTCCATGACTTGCTCCAAGGACTGCATGCTGAATGTGCAGAGACCAGATGAAGTCTGGTCTAGTACAAATTCATGCATTTTTAGCTATTCTAATACAGCTATTTTAGCTATTCCAAGAGATAGATAGGCAGGGGTTTTGAAGATGACAGTATAGATAGGGCTGTTGGACTGACTCAGGAGTGAGAACTCACTGTGGTTTAATTTGCTTAGCCTAGGATTGGTCTTCCCCAGAAAAAAGGATGTGTTCAAAGTTGAGACATCTGTGCAAATTAGCAATGAGACAAGGCATTACTTGTCTTTACTTCAGGATAAACACAGTGAACCCTACAGCCTCGTCAGGGAGCTGTTTGGCTAACCACACTGACCCTACCAGGATCCTGCACTGGGACTAGAGCTTGAGTAGGTTCTTTCAGTCGAAACACACACATTTTGTGGTACTATTTCTAAAGGACCAGTGAGTTAGGATATGTTCTCACTTAGGTAAGCACAGAGTCTTCTAGGGAAAGAGCAGATCTTTTTTCAGAGTAAAATAGTAACACAGTAAAATATAAAACAGAAATACTGAATCCAATCTGTTTTAAACATACTTGAACATCTATGGGTGAAAACGCCATATGAGAACAAGGCAGTACTTATCAACACTGTCAGCTAGGATTTACATGTATTACCCATCTAATCTGGAAACATTTGACATAGAAACAGTGATCTCTTAAAAGCACGAAGGCTACAGTATTGCAGTTGTCACACAAAAGTAATCTTCTAAGTGACTGGAGAAGGAGGCAGGAGATTTTTCACAATCTTTCCAATCCCAAGGTCAGACAAAGTATAACAGAAACACACGGCATTTATACAAAGTCAAGAGTCATATCCAAGAACTTTGATACAAACGGGCACCGGATCCTTGGGCAGTGCCCAGATCATGAGAGCAAGAAAGTGCAAGCTCATTGTAGTGCCTTACTGTGGGACTTTAAACGCTGGGTTTTTATTGTTAGCTGTCCACGCTTGTAACAACACTGCTTTGCTCAGAGGGCCCTGTAGTACAGGAGGGAGAAGGAATGATGAATTTATTTGGAAAGGGGTTGCCCAGGGAGGTGGCGAGGTCACGGTCCCTGAGGGCATTCAAGGGAAGGTTGGACGCGGTGCTTAGGGACATGGCTTTGTGAGTGACACTGGTGTTGGGGGGTGGCTGGACCAGACGATCTTGGAGCTCTTCTCCAACTTTAATGATTCTGTGCTTCTAATTTTGTTTCCTGGTAAGCACAGCCGAAGGACCAAACACGCTTCACCCTCATATTTGGCCACCAAAACGCAGCCCTCCCCTCACAACCCCCTGAGGCGGCACAAGAGGCGACCCCGGCGCCACCCCCTCCCATCGCCCCGAGCCGAGCGGAGCCCGGGGGGGCTCGGAGCTGCCCGCAGCCCCCTCACAGCGGGGGGAGGCCGCGGAGACCCCATGCGCGCCCGGGGGCCCTGCGGCCCCTCAGGGCGGGGCGGGGCGGGCTCGGCGCCTGAGGTGTCCGGCGCCCATTCGCCGGCGGGGCCAGAGGAGGGCGGGAGGAGGGAGGAGGCGGGCGGGCCCCGCTCCGCTCCGCTCCGATCTGCTCCGCCCCGGCCCCGCGGGAAGGGAGGAACCGGGGCCGGGCCTCGCTCGGCTTTCACGGCATGAAGCGGCCGCCTCAGCCCCGCGGCGGCCCTTTAAATAGCCGCCGCCCGGCTGGCAGCGGAGCGTCGTGTTGAGCTCGCCGAGCATCCATCGCCTCAGCCCCGCTGCCCGCAGGCTGTAAGTGCCGCGGCTGCCGGCCTGGCTCCCTCCCCGGGCTGCGGAGGCCGCGGCCGAGGCGCCTCTCCCCTTCCTTTCCCCTTCCCTTTCCCTCCCTCCCCGCCCCCGGCCCTTCCCCGGCTGAAGGGGGGTGTTTGTGCTGCGGGGTGGCCTCCAAAAACGCCTCCTGGGTGCTCAGGATCTGGAAGCTTTGCCTATTAATTGTGCCTCGCGTTTAGGATCCCGCTGCACGGACGCGCTTCTTTGTGGCAGCCCGGCGGAGGAGCAGGGATGCTTTGAGGCTTCCTGACCCCCGCCTCTCGCCTTTCCTCTCCCCTTCTTGCCAGAGCCATCATGTTTGAAATCAAGAAGATCTGCTGCATCGGTGCGGGCTATGTCGGGGGGCCAACCTGCAGCGTGATCGCCCAGATGTGCCCCAACATCACCGTCACCGTCGTGGACGTCAACGAGGCCAGGATCAACGCCTGGAATTCGGACACGCTCCCCATTTACGAGGTAAAGTCATCTCCCTGGTATCTCTCCTCTCAGCCAGCCCTGCGTCTGCTTCCCTTGCACCACATGGCACTTCCTCGTGGCCCACCTCTGAAGCTCGCTCAGAGTAGCACAATGACGGCCTCCAAAATGAGCCGCTCATTAAGCCAGATTTTGGAAACAAGAATTTGATATCTGGTGTGGGAGGGTGCTTAGAGGTTATTTACCAATGGCCTAGTAATGACAAACATCACTGTTTTCCTAGTGAGTTGTGCTAAATCATGCTGACTTTCTCCTGCCATCTATTTAACCATAACGTAGTGCTCTTACTCAGTTATAGATATCTGCTGTGTTATTGCACAATATTGATGTGTAATTGTGGGCGATAAGCTTGTTCTGTTCTGAATGCTGCCAAAATCCAGCCTGTGCTGCCCATCTTAACCGTGTTGTTAGATGAGGATGGTCATGTTCCTGTCTTACTTATACTATAAACCTCCAGTTTAGCCTAAGGGTCTTAGGACATATTAAAATGATTTCTAAAAGCATCATACTGTTTTTTCCTTTGTTACAGAAGGCCTTTAATTTGAAAGTGTAGTAAGTACTTCCCTAATGCTAAAAAGGATTTCTGCCCTTCATTCTTCTCTCCTCTTCATTGTTTCATGAGATATAATTGTTCTAGGTTCAGGTTCCATTCTTATGTGGGAATGAAAACTTATCTCATTTGGTTCCTAATGACGAGGTGCTGTTACTAGCAGTTACTGCTTCTTCTGGCTATAAGAAGTCTTCTGAATCCTGTCTGTGCTGTAACACTTAGTTTGTAAAAGTAGTAAAAAATAAAATAAAATAGTGTGACTACGCAGAGATGAGTAGACTTCCTTTGTCAAGCATATTCAAAGGAAAATGTGTGTAATGGTCAGATTAGCAGGCAAGACTTGAACAAAGATCACAAAAGGAAGTACTTTGGTATTAACATGTAGACTACAACACTTAGAGTTTAAGTAAAAATAATCTTGTCTTTTTTTTTTTTTTTTTTAAAGCTAAAAGCGCACACAATTAAAAAAACTAAACAGCACAACATCTGTTTCCTGGAACTGTCCTTTCCTTACAAAGAATGTATAAAAACTGCCAAGAACTAGTTCAGACAGTTGTAAATTTGAGTCACTGCACACAGAGGTTTTTGTATTTTTTATTTCATTTTTTTTTCTTCCCAGTGTCAGAAGGTACAATGAAATTCTTTCACTCTCTATGAGCTACCTCTCTATTTACATCCCAATAAGGCTATAGATAAAATATTTGACGGGTTATTCTGCCTATGTTGACCTTTCTTTTCCTTTTCAGAGAGATATCTGGTATAAAGTGAGACAGCAAAAATGCCTTGCATAAGAAAGCTTCTACTTCGTTTTCCTCTCTCTCCCTACAGTGAACCTTTGCCTTCCTGGCACTTATTCAAATACCTCATGTCATGATAGGCATCTCACAAGTTAGGGACATGATTGCCGGGTTACAGTGTGTGTGACTTTATTATCAAACAGAATATAAAGGCTTCTCTTATCTATGACAAACATATCTAAACTAAAACATTCTATAGCCCATCCTAGTACAGAGGCTTGTTCATGTACACGTGACCTGCTCCCCTTGTCTGAGTGGAGGTGTTGAGGGAAGGAAAAGTGTTCTAGCACTGTCTGTGTATCTGGAAAGAATCTCATCAGATTGTGCCCATGATTCTTCCACACTGCAGGTGTGGTTCCTGGATAAATTTAGTATTTAGTCTGGTAATCTGGTACAAACGTGTGGTAGACACAGGAGAGAAGGACAACTCCTTTTTGTCAATCTGTTGCCTCTTTCATTGGATTTGAGGTTGTTAACTTAGTGTAAATTGATTCTGTGGGTTTGTTTGTTTGTTTTTAAATAGTGAATCAGTTTGTTAGATCTGAGTTTACTTGTTTGGGAGATCATGGAATGTGTAGCTGAGGGACAAGGAGAGTTGCAAATGCTTTTTTATTCCCTGCAGCCTTGGGAATATTGTAAGACTTTGTTCTTGAATCTACTTAAAGAACCTGTAGAGTGATGTTAATTGTTGTTCATGGCAGTAGAGCTAAGCATGTGAATAACTGGAGCCTAAAACCTGTTGTGTAAATAGCAACTCAGTGTGGCTGAAATCTGAGACTGTTTTGAGTGTCTTGACTAAGAAAAGGGTTTATTTATTTTTGCCCCTGTATAAAGCTACATAAGCTTTGCTTTACATTTGACAGACTGAAAATATGCCACACTGAGCAGAAAAGTCTCTATCTGAAATTATATGCTGCCTGTTTGGGCATGTAATTCTACTGTTCTGTATGCCCCAAAAGACTAATGTACTGCATTAACCATAACTGTTCTTTTTTTTCTGCTTTTTTTCAGCCAGGGTTAAAAGAAGTGGTAGAGGCCTGCCGAGGAAAAAATCTCTTCTTTTCTACCAGTATTGATGATGCCATTAGAGAAGCTGACCTTGTATTTATTTCTGTAAGTTTAGGGGGTTGTGTATGTTTGTATCTTATGTGTTGCTTTTTTATGTTGGGAAGAGGCCTTTGTTTTATCGTATGGGTTCGTTTAGCCATGTCATGTCGCTGTCACAGATTTCTCCTTGTCTTTCTGTACGCTGTGGGGAAGAGCAGTAAACTTCTTATCTTTATCTTGCACTTGGTTTCTTGTAGCCAACAGAACACTTGGCAGGCCAACAGGCCTTAAGTCAAAATGATAACGCTGATGTTTAGCTTGATTAAGTATTTGGGGCTCTAGAGCAGGATTTAGTGCAGATCTGTCACTGTAGTGTACTGAAGGCTAGGTTTGATATGATTCCAAGACTGGGATGCAAAATCATATACTGAGCACTGGTTACAAAGGTGACTTACTTCTAGAAGCTGTATATTAATGGTAGGAGCTGGCAGGAATTTTCCTAAATATCCTTTAGGAGGCCCTGATATTTTTAAGCTGTTGACACCTCTAAGAAGCAGATCCAGTCAAACATTAAGCAGTGTGACCTCTCTTAGTAGAGAAGGTTGTACCCAATACAGAGTCCAGAAGGACTGGCTTCTATTCATCTTGGTGAAGATCACAACTGAGACTTGTTACTAAAGTCCTCTTTTCTTGAGATCCTCTCTTTGTTGGGCACCTCAGTGCAGCGCTCTCCTGATTGGTATTTTTCTCCATTCATGAAGGCTAAAATGAATGCTACTTGGCTGGAAGACTGCCACTAATACAACCCATGTGTGGCCACCTGGGTTCCGGTCACTGACTTGTAAAATCACAGCAGTTCTTGTGTTGTTGCTATTTCCTTGAGTTTCTAATAAAAAAGACCCTTTGTCTTAATCTAAACATTTTCTTTTGTGTATAAAGTGATTTTCAGCAGCTCTACACCTAGATTTAAAACCAATGCAAAGTGGGTTTAACTGCCTCACTAGTTGCAAGACTCTTATAATGTGAATTTTAACACTTCCTACATTGGACAAGAAACAAAAGATGGCTGTCTGTAGCAATAAAGAAATTATTGCTGTGTCCAGGATAGGGCCTAAGCTTCCTAGAAGCCTGCAGAGCTGTTATGAATTGCTTTTGTTTGAGTAGAGGCCAGTGAGCTTACTTTGGAAGACAAGATGGGTAATTGAGAGAGCTAATAGCTGTTCATCTGATAGGGCAACTGGAGTAATTGAGGGGCAGAACCAAACTGGGTTCAGGGAAACAAAGTGTCTGTCCTAACACAGGACCAACTGAATAGGTGAAATTGAGAGACCTATAATGTTTCTCCTCTGCCTATGTATCTGTAACTAGGTTAACACTCCCACAAAGACCTATGGGATGGGAAAAGGCCGAGCTGCTGACCTGAAATACATTGAAGCTTGTGCTAGACGAATTGTACAAAACTCCAATGGCTACAAAATTGTCACTGAGAAGAGCACAGTGCCAGTTCGTGCTGCAGAGAGCATTCGGCGGATATTTGATGCCAATACAAAGCCTAACCTGGATTTACAGGTAAGCATAATCTTTGAGTTGTGTTTTAAGGGTGCTGGCTTTGCTTTTTAGCTGTTCTTTATTTCACGCTTCACCTGTGTGCTTGCAGGTGCTGTCTAACCCAGAGTTCCTCGCAGAAGGAACAGCCATCAAGGACCTGAAGAACCCGGACAGAGTGCTTATTGGTGGAGACGACTCTCCAGAGGGACAGAAAGCTGTCCGTGCACTCTGTGCTGTTTATGAGCACTGGGTGCCCAAAGAGAAAATCCTCACCACCAACACCTGGTCATCAGAACTTTCTAAACTGGTTAGTACTACTCACGACCTGTCTCTGTAGTGGGTGAAGGATGCAAGTGAGATGAAGCTCTTAAGCAGTTCACTGAAACTGATTGATGCAGCTAGGAAAGACAGACAGGGTTTGGAGGACCCAGTGAATGTCAAAGGATATTCATCTTTTCCAATGATCTTGGTTGATCTAATAGATAATATCAATTTTCCATGAAATCCTTGCCTCACATTTATTGCTGTGTCATTACTAAATAAACCATCAGTACTGCAGAAACTGGCTACCTTCATGAAATGTTTCCAAGTCTGCAAGTTAAATATTGAATTATTCTGTTTAGATCTCATTAATTAGCTGTACATGTATTAATACATGTTTAATACATGTATTAAACTGCTTATTACTATTTAGTCGCTCAACAGAGCTACATAGTACTGGAGGAAGAATTACTTTAGTATCTCACTCATTGACCTGTGGGCTCTCTGGTTTCCAGAGGAATTAAGTTTTCTATACTATGTTGTTTTTTCTTATCTACAGGCAGCTAATGCTTTCCTTGCCCAAAGAATCAGCAGCATTAACTCAATCAGTGCTCTGTGTGAAGCTACGGGGGCAGATGTTGAAGAAGTAGCAAGAGCTATTGGAACAGACCAAAGAATTGGAAATAAGTTTCTGAAAGCCAGTGTTGGTAAGTGGAAACTCTTTTTTTCCTCCTTTTGGGCTTCCATTTATTATTGCAATAGGTCTACTAATAGTGCTTTGAAATACATAATCTGATAATCAAAAAATCTTCTACAGCACAGAAAAATATTGCTGTAAGGTGCTAGCATAAAAATACTTTCTGGTGAAATGTATAGGATGGAGGGTGTTCTAGACTAGGTAATGTGAAGCACAAAATCCACACAAAATAACCTTATTAAATTAACCTCTTTTAGAAGTCCACGCAAGAGTGGAAGTATACAGTAAATACACTTCCAAATTGTATTTGGTTATTATAATTCATCCTACAATGTGTTGCTTCTGGGACTCTGAAGTTCTAAGGGTCAAGGATCCTTCTACTGACTTTTTTTTTTTACATTCTCTCTTAGCTGTGGTGGTCTTTAAGTTCTTGGCTATGATTAAACAGCCATTTGGGGTTGGGGGGAAGGGGAAGAACCTAATCTTTGCATGCTTATTCTGAGAAATAGTCATACACATCTCTAGGTGGGGGGTGAGCAAACCTAGGAGCTTGTCTACCCTCTATTGATAAAAACATCCTATTATCTAGAGACTCTTGTGATCCATTGAGACAGGTTTAAAACTTCTGTTGACTTAATGGGATCCGAAGCAGACATTAAGGCTTTTGTAACTGACGAAGTAGCTCCAGGTGTTGGACTCTGAAAGATCCCTAGGGGTTTTCATTTGTTAGCAGTGACATCCTGGGGGGGGGAGGGGGAACAAACAAACACCTATAATGCTGACTGTCAATGATTGCCAAAAACTATTTGATTATAAAGACTGGGTTAGAATAGTACCTTACTAATGCAAGCCACCTGTAAAATAACCTTCTTCTTTTTTCAGGGTTTGGAGGTAGCTGTTTTCAGAAGGATGTCTTGAATTTAGTGTACCTTTGTGAGGCACTGAACTTACCTGAAGTAGCCAGATACTGGCAACAGGTACAAGTTTCCTTTTCACTTTTTTTTTGCCATGGGGTGTTGTTTCTTCAGCTCTTGAGTATTGTCCACATGTACACTCTGTAGGCTTTATTTGGAGTGAATTAGCTTGTCTGAACCAAATGGATTGGGAAGCTGTTTGGAAGTAGCAAAAGAAAATGCAAAGTACAAGTGTATCTGGACTCCTAGTTCTGGCTTTGCAGGAATCTATTCCCCAAAAAGTGAAAAGTATTCTTTTCTAATTATCTGAAATGTGGCTGGATGTTACTCATAACTCCTCAAACTTGTGAAGTTTAGTCATCCTTCAGTTTACTCAGCATAAGATGAAAGCAGACCATCCCTGGAGCAGTGGGAGCTGCAGGAACTAACCACAGCGACTTGATAATCTGGTGAAGAATGGTAAAACTACTAGTCTTTAAAGAGACAAGAGACAAATTGGTTTGGTTCTTTGTCCTCTGAGATCATAAGGATACTTCCCTTATGCAACCTAGCTGAAGTCTTGGCAGCCCAAATGTGTAGGAACACTTATGGCTTGCTCTGTATGGGGTTGTTCTTTAATTAGCAGTGAACCCTTTAGGCTTATGTTAACATAAATGAACTAGTTCAAAACTTTTATTGCTTTTAAGTTCTCTTACTCTGGTTTAAGAGTAATTCTTTGCCGTGTTTCCATATGACTTAAGCTGTGGACAGATCAGACAGGAAGACTACCTTATCCTAACCCTGCAGCAGCCAAAGTGCTGTGCTCGCATAGTGTGATCCCTTACGTGCACCTTCTTCTTCAGAGCACTGTCAGCTTGCAGAGGTTCATCTGTCCCAGCCCACAGTGCCCAGGTGCCCATGTAATGCACATGGGCAATAAGCAGCTGTGAAACCAGTCCCTGCAGCACGAATATGGCACTGTCAGTGGACTGAAGTCTTCACTTGACAACATACATACAGAAAGCAATGTATCCCTCTTGCCCTGTCACCTGTTAGGCTTATGTTCCCCATCACCACCTTTCCCTGTTGAATAATCTCCCTGCTTTTATTTCCTTTCCTCAAAGAAACCCAGCTCACCAATATCCTTCTGTATTGTTCATACCTTATGTTGCATAACATCAGCCACCAGCTATGTTAAGCTTCTGTTAATTCCTGCTTTGAGTTGAATTATACTCTTCTATTGATTTCTGACACTTCCATGTCAGTTCATGGTAAACATTGACTAGGTGGGGAACCTGCCTTCCCTGTTCTACCAGCGATCTGGTGCCCTGTGTGTCCAAGGCTGGGGATCAAAGTTTGAAGCAGGCTGGGAGGAAAGCACTAGAACAGCCAGGCTGAATGAACCTACTTCTGTGTAATAACAAAACCAAGACGCTTTCAAGTCTAGTTTAATCACGCTAGTTTTATGCACCAAAATCAGTTAAAATGTATTAAAAAAATAAAAAATAAAAATCTAAAGTGTTCTCACAGCAATCAGATATGGCAGGTAGGAAAATATACATCTGGCAATGGGATGTCCATGTGACATCAGGTACTCTTAGCACTGAAACTGCTTTCCATGTTTCTGCCCGGAACGAACAGGTAGTAACTTACTTTTTTTTAACATCACAAACCAGAAAAAGCCTAGCCTTTGAACTAGCTGATACAAGATGGGGTGTGTATGTATATAAATGCATTTGTAGTCATTGATTAAAATTGTATCTATCTCAAAGTGATAAATGAACTGAACTTACCTTTGGATTATTTATGATGCTGAGTAAAAATACTTGGCTTTCTCTTTCAAGTCTCTTTTAAACTTGCATGGCTAGTTTGGCTTCGATTATTAGCAGAATCCAGTTACAGTTTAAAATGGCTCTCTTTTAAACCACGATGTTTTTATAATTTCAGGTAATAGACATGAATGATTACCAGAGGCGAAGGTTTGCTTCCCGTATTATTGACAGTTTGTTCAATACTGTCACTGATAAGAAGATTGCTATTCTAGGGTTTGCATTCAAAAAGGATACTGGGGATACCAGGTAAGACAGTGAAATCAGTGTGCTAATATGGATTCCCTACTCTTGTTACAGCTGTCCAGCTAAACCAGCTCAATTCTGTTAATGAAAACAGATCAAATATGGGATCCTTAACCTCTTTTTGAATGAACTGCTTTGTTGTATGGATAGTGGCTCCTAAATGGGTGAGACAACTGATTCTTGGTCTCTGTAACATACCTGAATCATTCAGAAGCTAGAACAGATAACTCACTGTGTTTAGTCCTTAACTTGCACAGGGCACAATTGTTTGAGTCCTTCCTTCTCCACAGTAAAGAATGCAAATATTTTTTTCAACTGACTCTAAATTGTTATTTGAAAACAAAATTTCAGCTTTGTTTCCCCAAAGATGTTTAATTCCTTCTTTCTGTAAAGGGCAGACTTTATAAAACTCTCCCCAACTGCACACTTATGAGAGTGATGCCTCGTTACTTATGGTCAGTAGGAGTGCTGGGGCGTACTGTCTTTCTTACATGATTCAGTGAAAGAGATGTAAGCTTTTTTTATATTTTTATTTTGTATTATTCTTCTTGGCCTCCCTCAAAATCTTTAATTTATTGTTGGCATGGATTATCACTAATGCAAAACCATTGTAAAGGCTCTGGCATTGCATATCATGACACTTGAAGACTTGCATTATTTAGCACATAACATCAGGTTCTTCAGCTGTTTAATTCTCTTCCCTAGGGAGTCATCCAGTATCTACATTAGCAAGTATTTAATGGATGAAGGAGCAAAGCTCCACATCTATGATCCCAAAGTACCTAAGGAACAAATCATCTTGGATCTCTCACACCCAGGTGTCTCAGAAGATAACCAAGGTAAGAATGCTCATGTAAAGTTTCCATGCACCCTGCAACAAGAAGAAACCCCCCACCCTATTCTCAAAATATGCAAAGTCTGTTTAAATACTGTGTATTCATTTCACCCTGGCAATGATGTGCTGCTGGTTACACTTAAAGTAGAAGATTGGTATGGTTCAGGAGATTACTGTAACGCTTCTCCCTTAGCCTTTATAGGCAAAGGCTAATTCTGTTCTATTGTATCATTTCTTTTAACAAATACTCCTTTGAATATATGAAAGAGTTTTCTCTGCATAATTTAAAAGAAGAGAAACAAGAAGGTCCAGTAGTAGGAGAGATTAGTGTTATTCTGTGAACAACTTTGTGTGCAGAGTCCTATCTTGCCTGCCCATGTAAAGCAGAAGTGAATAAATAATTCCAGAATTCATTGTAGAGCTTTCTCCTGGGTTGTTTCTAGTGGTGAAGAGTGGCTGGAAACGACCTGTGGTGAGGAAGGTGTGTGTTATTTGACATGTCCTTGAATTTGAGGATGATGGGAGGGTTGCCTCTAGGCAGCTGCTGAGGCAGGTATGATAAATGCAGCCTTTAGTGTATGCAATGAGACATGGATTTTTTTTTGGTAGTGTGAAGTGAGCATTGAACAGCAACTGTGGTATGCTGGTGTTGTAGTCTATAACCTTTGAGAGTTGGCATTTGACCAGTTGATAGTAGCTTCCAGTTCTAGAAATGCTCCTGACTATGTTTAAATCAAATTTGAGTGCTTAATTTCAAACATCAAAATACCAGATTCTATTTGGACATCAGATATAAATGTAATGAAAGCAGCTTGCCACTTTGTCATTAAATAATGACATAAGACATCTCTAGATAAGTGACCCAAAACTCACCTTTTTTGAATGGGGTGACAAAGACCCTCTTTCAAGGAGTGCACCAGATTGCCAGAGATGTCTGCAGAACAAAACTTTATTTTCCTTCTGTTACAGTGTCTCGCCTGGTGACTATAAGTAAAGATCCATATGAAGCCTGTGATGGTGCTCATGCCCTTGTAATTTGCACTGAATGGGACATGTTTAAGGTAAAAATATCATCTTTAAACTTAACTGAGGGAAAATAAACAGTGTCAAGCTACATATTTATTCTGTATGCTTTAATTGCTTTTTACAGGAGCTGGATTATGAACGTATTCACAAGAAGATGCTGAAGCCTGCATTTATCTTTGATGGTAGGAGAGTTCTTGATGATCTTCATAATGAGCTGCAAGTCATTGGCTTCCAGGTAACCAGCTGGGTGATGCTTCTGGGGTTTTTCTTCTGCTTCTGCACAGCAAAATGATGGAATAGCAAGGGGGTGAGGGTAGGAGAAACTGTTCTCTTCAGGAGAGGCTTTAAATTTAAATCAATCTGTACTTGTCTCTGTTCACTAGTGCGCTTTTCCTTTAGTACCTTTCTGGTACTTTAAAAACTCATACTCCTAAACACCAAGCTATGTTAGACTCTGCCATCAATATTCAACAGTATAAGCATGCCTTGAAAAATGTCTAGTAGAGACAGAATTTGTGACAGCACAGTGACTTCTATCATGGCCATAGACCTTCCCTCTTGATATCTTTTATTTTTTTTTTGAACTGATAGTCTTATGGAAGATAAGGCGCACAAATGCTTAAATTTGCAGGATGCAGCTCTTTAGATATGTGAAGTGGGAGCCCCTGAAAGGCTTTTTCTTTTCCTTTAAATTTTTGTGCTTTTATTTTCAGTTTCTGTATTAATACTTCCATTAACTCTCCCTGGGCACACTGCTTTATAGCTTCTACTATGCTAGCGTTCATCAAATGTAGTCATCACCCTGGTTTTAGTTCATGTATTCCTCATGATTCTGCCTGTGTGACTCTGCTACTTTGCCATGCTCACTTGCTAAATGTGCTTTCTCTTTCAGATTGAAACAATTGGGAAGAAGGTGTCAGCAAAAAGAATCCCTTTCGCTTCTTCTTGTGAAATTCCCAAGTTCAGCCTGCAGGACCCACCTGTCAAAAAGCCTAGAGTATAATGTTTAGTAGGTACTAAAGGAACTATGTGGACCTTCTTAAGGATAATAACTGTAAGCCTATGCTTTTTTAAGGAAAAATATTTTTCATAAACTAAAAGCAATTTTACACTAGAAATGGTACCCGGTACATGTGAATTCAGTCTATTTTCAAATCTCTATTTTTATAGCAATTTTTTGGTTACTGAAGATGGTACTGACCTGTTTTTAATAATGAAACAACCTTTTAAGTGGAAAAGTTACCATCAAACTGCAAATTTTTGCTTCCAGAAATGTTCCTAAATTGCACTTTAAATGTTTCAAGTGATGTGGGGGAGAGAAAAAAATGGAACATCTTTTTACTTCAGTCCAGTTGTAGATAGTGATCAGGAACTTTGGCCTTGCTTTTTAAAATTTTCCTCTGGGGTTAATTCTTTCCCCTGTTGAATCCCTGCTTTAAATGGCAGTGGAGTCAAATTTGCTTAGAACTTCTCTCTTAATAGGTTTGGGTTGAGCCCTAACCCAGAGCTGACTGCAGCCGTAATGCCCTGATCCTGACTGGGATCAACAGGCCCGGGTGCGGTCTGAGCTGTGTCTGTTGGGAGGCCAGATAGTTTTGCAGACATCTATCATGTCATTGGCAGTGGACTAGCAGCCATGAACTGATCCACTGGTAAATCTCGCTTGTGATTCTTGGTTGTCTTGCCTACATTCCATGTGCAGCACGTAAATTATTGAGTTAATCAGATTCCTGGGGCAAGTTTTTCCTCGGTTACCACAATACAACCCATCTTCAGCAGAGGAGCATTCTGCTTGCTGCTTGTCTGAATGTTGAATTTAAGCAGAATTACCTTAATCCAGTATCAGCCTAAGCAGAAAGCAAATGGTAGCTTCAAAGCTACCTGATGGTTATTTTTTTTTTCCGTCCTTTCTGCTTATACTTCAACTGAAAGCAGCTTTCTTAATGAATCTGCAAAACTTATCCTCTGCTGTTCTGAAAATAAAAATTCAGCCCCATATGTTAGTCAGCTTTCTACCTCATTTAATTAGCAGGAATTAATGGTTCCTATGTATCTTGATACTTTTGCCTTTACTTTATTTTTACTTGTTTTTATTCTCAATTGGCCAGTGCTATTAAAATCCTTGAGATTATGAAGTTTGTGTTTGGCTTGTTGCATGGGGTTGTGAAAAGGAGTGCAGTTCTAGAGAAGGATGACCATGAACCGGTTTCAAACTAGAAGGCATATAGAAGTCTTAGCTGAATAATAGTAGTGTTGGGATGTCTTTTTAAAAATAAATAAATCCTGTAACTAGTCACAGAACACCTCCTGGTTTTATTCAACAGCTGTGCCTTCAAGTGTGCTATGTCAATAGTTGTACTGGAAGCACAAGATCAGCGACTTGGTAATGAGTCCTGTCACTGTAACCATTCACCCACAGCAATGCAGATGCAATGTGAGCTTTAGGACAGATCTTTGAAGACCTCAGGAATTTATACACCAAACTGAGGAGACAATGCAAGGCAGTGTTACCTGCTCTGGTGGCAATAGCTGTACTCCTGTGCCAGATGCCCTCAGATCCTGTACCTCAATGGCTTCTAGAGGAGGACTTGCTAAGTAGCAATTGTTCAGTGCTTCGGGCAAATGTGCCTCGAGCTTTTTGCTGCATCACAAGACTCGTTTGAATATGTTATAAGATAGCCAAAAAGAGTGGAAATTATGGGAGCTTAAACTCCAACTATCTTCCATCAGGACATCTTTTCTTCCTGATTCATTAGTGCTGCTTTCATACAACACCCAGAGAGCAAGGACAACCCTGTGGTGCTGTAATCAAAAGGGGAAAATCACACCCTTTGAGCAGGCAGACACCTTCTGGGCTTCCCCCAGCAGTACCAGAGGGCAAGCCGGTAACTCCTCCTTGGGCATTAAGAGGTTTGAAGTAGAAACATGAAACGCTTAAAAACTTCCTCTGTGAAAATCACACTAATCTGTGGGGTAACTCTAAACCGGGGAGTGGCACATGGTTTTCTGGAGATCGCTAGGTGGTGACTGGTACTGGTGTTTCTCTTGCTTTCTTCAGTCAACTTTTTTCATCTGCTGCATTCCTTCAGTGGGACACTGGGATCGTGGGATGAGTCAGGTTTAGCAATCTGAACAGCTGGTGGTGCATGCCTTCAGGATACCAAATACCTTGCATATATGCAAGAGAACCTTGCCACATGCCAAAAGAAACATGTTCAGAAGCTTTTGCAGCACTGTGAATAACCAGTTATCCTCTTCAGAGTACGGTTGCCAGGGAAATAGAGTTGGAGATGACTTGTTCCTGCTTCAAAGGGTTTGTGCTCACAAGTAATGCATGAGGTGGTTCTTAATGGAATTGAGTCTGTGTTTATGGGATATTAGAGCATGTAACTCTTGATGAGAATTGTATAATATGAGTAATAGACTTCTATGCTCTGTTTTTTGATTTTTTTTTAAATAAAATACAATCCAACATTAATATGGCTTTCCATCACAAAAGCGTGACTGTAACAGCTGAAGCAAATGTGGTTTAATGCAAGCCTACTAACAGCATATGGACTGCACGTATGCATGGCCTTACTCAACATGTACTTAGACAAATCCACGTGCCAGACAAGATGTACTGTTTTTTCTTCTGTATGTATTTAGCTCTTAGTCCAGATAAAACTAGTCTGGTTCCTGGCATGAGGTAGTCAAGAATACTGCAAGTGAATAGAACAAACACATTTTTGACCAAGCCAGGAATAGTTAGAGGAAAACTTTCCTAGCAGCTAACAACTTTATAACTCTCTTCATCCCTTAAAGTTCTTCTGTTGGAGGTGATCTAGAATTTATAGTATTCTATAATCTTGCTCAACAACTCAAATTTTAAATGAATTGTAAAAATAATGCAGGAAGTAACGGGTTACCTATCATTGCTTAGTGTCATTTTTCATTACTTTTTTTCCCCTCCTGATTCCAAGCTGAGAGTTTTTATTGCAAGTTGATCATCATCTTTAATAAGAGCTTGTCCCATGTTGTAGTAAAGAAACATTTTTTTAATTTTTATGTAAAGGGGACACCAGTATTATTCCCTGATCAAATAGGGGGGAAAAAATCAAAACTATTCTTAAATGAACATTTGCTTTGTTGATTTAACCTAGAGACTAAGTCACACATGTAGCAATTCTCCAGTCAGCTGCATAAGATTTAATTATGCTTCACACATTGTAGTAGACTGATATAATGATGCTAAAAAAAAAAAGCTATTCTCTTAAAGAATCTGTGTCGATTTGAGATCATATTCCCAAATGCGTTTATTTTCCTGCTTGTGAGGAAAATTATTGTTGTTATAGTACTTTATGGCTGTTTTGTGAAACACTGACAGAAGGAAGAGATTGACATACAGAAAGAAAATGTCACTAACCATGAAACTTCATCAGAAACAAAATTGGAAAAGTCGTGAGTTCTTGGAATATTTGGTGCCTTTAAATATGTAGTTATAGGAAAAAAATGGGCAATAGGGAAGAAAGATAGTTGTAAAACCAGTTTCTCAACTAGGAAAAGAATTCTAAGACTTGTCATTTCTATTGCACAAGTTGTCAGAGGTCCTCAAAGACTAATTATATTTTTTCTGTTTTGTATACTCACTTATAAAGTCAAAATGGATCTGCTTTCTATAGAAACCATAGGAAAACATTAGAAAATATTTTATATAGCTTGCGTATCTTGCTGCTTCCTGTCAGACAGATGTGTAAAAGCATGAGATCATCTGAACCACCCATGGGCAGTTCATAAAATACTTCTAACATGAAATAACATTACTGGGTTTAGAGGAGCATTATTTCTCTCACTAGGGGAAAAAAAAAGTCATGGATAATTATTGTGCTATGTCCTCTTATCGGCTTTAAAATAGCTGTGTGGCTCAGATTTCCTTTTTCTTTTTTTCTGGTGTCAAAATGCTGAAAGAGTACTAAGTTGACAAAAGCTACAGAAATTCTCTTAAATGTGCTCTATAGGCAAGTCAACAACATTATTCACAGCAGGACCTCTACGAAAGGCTGGCAGCTGTTAAATGTGGGTATCCTGGTGGTGTGGATGGAGTATTCCGTTTCTTTACCCCAGTGATAACCTTCCCCTGCTCTGGTAGTTGGTGTATTTCAGCTGGCCAGGCTCAAAGTGTGCTTGGTCTTTCCAAGACTAACGGGCAGGCAGTTTATTATAATTCACATTTTTTGCCATTACAACATGTAGCTATTACTACGTTCTTTATGACCCAGGTATGTCTCCCCTTAATTTACGCTACCATTATGTTGTTTAATTAATACTGCCTAAAGACTGTTTGTCTCCATAATGCTTTAATGCTGCTCTACTTAATTTTGTGACGAGTTAATTGTGCAGCACTGGCCTCTGTGGTATAATTTGACTTTTGTTGTTTGTGACAATACCAAGTTTCTGTTATTCTATTAACTTGCTAATTAGCTCTCATCCTTCTAACATCTTGCTGTGTGGAGAGGGTCCACTCTCCTTCCTCTAGACCACAGCAGCATACAGAAGTACTGCAGCCAGCTACAGGATTACTTCAACGGGGAGGGTTTGGAACTAGACAACCCATTCCTGGCACATTTCCCAAACAATTTCATGAAGAAAAATGCTTAAACCAATTCAAGAGCTATCTAATGTTCAGAGCAGACAATGGAGAATTATTAGGGCAAAGCTATCATGACTGAAAAGAGAAAAACTTACAACTGCTAGTTTACCATAAGGCATGCTTTAATTTCACTTGAGCTTAGTGCATTTCATCCACATCTCTGTTCAGATTTAACAGCCCGATCAGGCCTCCAAGGGGCAGGTAACCAGACCAATCAAACAAAACCACCCTGGTCTTAGGCTGAGTACTGAAATCTTCAGTGCTCAGACAATACCTATGGCATGGAACACCCACAGTTCTGTACAGATGAAGAGCATTAGCTAGCAGAAGGGCACAGTTAATTTTTGTAAGATACAGATAAGAGACACCACTTCTTGAAAGATCGTTAACAGTACTTCCTCTGGTGTGGCTAACCATAGCCCTATGTGGTCCTTTGACATATACACCTCTTTATTTCCCCGAGTCCCTGCAAGCCTGCATTGCATAATAGTAGGATATGTCAAGAGATTGGTACCTTCTGAATTACCCATTATTAGCATCTTAACAAGGATCTAATTGCAGCAATATTGATGGTACTATCACACCTGTTTATTTAAACCTGTCTGATTATTTCAGCTTATGTTTCCTCTGCCTCAGTTCCTTTGCTCTTTCAGAAGCAGTTCTGTCTTCTGACTTGTTACTGAACACCCGAAGTACTATGTAGTTGTAGCACTGCCAGGAGGAATTCGGTAAAATAATGTTAAGTGTTTTGGCGAGAGTGAAGTGTTCTAGAAGGATAGTAAGCTTATTCATGCCTCCACCATCTGGTCTTCTGTATTTCTGGAACTGAGTGTAATTACGAGCTGAAAAAAGGATCCTTAAAACTGACTGCTTTAAATAGGTTCACTCTCATTTTCAGATGACTTTTGTCTTTCTTTTTTCTACTAAGTTCTTCAAGAAGAATTCACCTAGTAAAAGGGAAAAAAAAAAAGCACCCAAGGTGATTTTTATGTGTTTCCATGAAATAAAGCAAAAGAATACACATTCTTACTTAATGAGTATTGTATTCTACAATACAATTGCTCTTACCACTATTCTGTAGCAATTATATTCTACACAACACTGCTTTCACTATGTGCAGCAGGGATGTAAGAACACTCAAACCCATAATCCAACAAGCAATACCTTCCACCCCCTAAAAATCCTGATTTTCTTCGTGCCCAATTTTATGGACAAGCTTTGCTGCTTTGTGCTTTCAAACAGGCCAAGGTGAATTGATTTAATTAAAAATTAATTCATATTTTATAAAGCATCAGCAACCTGTAGTGAAAGCTGCTATAAATCTTGTTTGAATTGGCATTAAAATTGTCTGAGAAGCAGGGTGCCCCTAGATAATTATTCCCTGCTCCCTCCTTAGGAAAAGGCAGGACGTTGGACCTGCACAACAGTTCAGTAAGATCAGCTGCTACTTAGCACCCAGTGCTTTGTCAGAAAATGCACTGCTTTAAGTGTGGCTAATTATTTCTAGGGCATTGCGAATAAATTCTGCCAAAAGTAACAAAATTATATCACATAGGGCCCCCTTAAATCCTGAAGTGTTTAAGAGGCAGAATGTAAAGGAAACCTTGAAGTTGGTGCCCCCTCTAAACAGATCCTGCCTCACGCATTAAGTTATTGTACAAATACCAGGTAGGGCCATCCTGGTGCATTTAGATGAACTACAGAAGGCAGGAAGTGTAAATAATAAAAAACAAAGGATGACTAGAGACGTTTCCCCTGTGCAAAGGTGAGCTTTGTCGTCTATTACTTCACACTCTTAATTGTTATACAAAAAGCCATGTCCCAAATAACCAAACGCTTTGTAGTAATTTACCTGCTTTATAGGAGGAACGCACTAAAGGCCCACTGGCTGTGTAATGGAATCCAAGCTCGTTTCCTACTTTTTCCCAGTATTTAAATTTTTCAGGAGTTACATACTCCTCAACCTAGGTAAAAAGAATTCATTTTGATCAGGTCTTAATATAAAAGAAAAACGTAGACAGCACGTAATGACATGAAACTGTTACATCTCAAGTTCAAAACATTACATTCCAAAACTTTCAAGTCAAGTCATGAAAACTATTTTCCTCTCTGATTTTTACCCAAAGAATGTATTTTATTTGCTTTTCAGATATAGCTTCAAAGTTTAGAATGTAATTTTAGTTGTTGCTTCATTTTCTTTACTGTTTTTGAATGGTCCTTTTGCACAAACCTTTTTTTGTCCTAAGTTTGAAAAAAAAAAAAAAAAAAAAAAAAGAGAGAAACAAACAAAAAAAGCACCCCAGAATAATCCTACAAATCTCTTCACTAACAGTTATTTCAGTGGAACGGAACAAAGACCCTGGCTCTGGACAGATTACAGAAGGAGAAAATGGTAATTTTCACAGCTGAAGTGGCACCATTACGGGACAGCCTATGAGGCAGCGAATGAGAGCTGGCTTGAGCCATTACGTTGGAGGCATACACTGAGGCTCTTGTTCTGCAGAATCATGCCTCAGCTCCAGCTGTCTCCCCAGCTAATAGTAGCAAGTAGCAGTGTGCAGTCTGCAGGAGACGGAAAGGATTAGACAGTTGAAGTCATTTCTAGCAAGGGGCCCATAACAGATGAAAATCAACTTCAGCAAAGAAGGAAATTTTTCCCAACATCCACGGTTAAGGCTGCACATCAAACCCCACTGCAGAAAGAGGAAACTGTACTGCAAGATACAGACCAAAACACTGCCTGTAAATTAAAGGCATGTTTACCTTTAGGTGACGTTTTGTTGGTTGCATGTATTGTCCTAGGGTCAAACAATCCACGTCTGCTTCACGCAATACTGTGAAAAGAAAAT